CTTGGTCTGACTTCTCTTTTTCAATAGAGAATGGATGGTGTTTGGCTATGATCATTTCAAGAGACCCAAGAGAGAGATTTTAGCAAAACCCATGTTGAGTAGTCCGAGCAAGACAGACAAGCTTCCACTGCCATTGATGAGATTTTTAAGAAGCAATGTTGGAAGCAAAAACAGAGGCAAGTCTCGCTTAAAACAGATTATCAAATGGTCCTCAACGTGTGGCATTCACAAGCCTATTTCTCTTCCTTGTGGCATCTTCTAATCTTGAAAGCTATCTCTCACCATCACATATCACAATAGTCATGTAAATTTGACAAAACTCATCATTCTAAAACTCTCTTAGCCATGTTTGATTTTCATTGGGGATTGAATTAATGATAGAATAACAATAATATTTCACTATCAGATTTTTGAATTGGTATCTTTTTGGATTATTCGATCGGATTTCTCCTTATTGAATTTGGATTGGATTCAGATCAAATCTGATCCATTGGCAGCCTTCTTTTTTTCTTTTTCTTTTTTTTTTTTCAACTGCAAAATTGCTCAATCAGTAGAGAAACCATTCTTCTGTTAGAAACAGATCTGAGTTGAAGAAGTAAAACAAACCCAAAATCTAGCAGTTGGGAAACATGGAATTATTTACAGATTTCATGACTTCAGCTCTCTTAAAATAAATAAATAAATAAATAAAAGAGAATTTGGGAAAATTAAAACAAATTATGGGATTGAACCAGACATGGATCACTATGTTCTTATGGCGGACTTGTTGAGTAGATATGGACATTTCAAGGAAGCAGAGCAATTAATTGTTGGTGGTTGACCAAGGGGTCGACCTCTTAGTGTAAATTTTTTACAAAATTTTGCTTGAAGTGGTCATCTGGGAGGACGTCCTACCAGACGTCTGGTTGGTCGTCCGGTAGTCCACACTCAACGGTTATACACATCAAATTGTTGAAAGGTGCAAGCGATCCTCAATTTGGTGAAATATTTGATATTTTCTCAATTTGATACATTTTTTGTGAAACCGTTGGAGCATAAGACGATGAATTTGGTGAACGGTTAGAGATATTCTAAACACGCTATTTTGGAGGAAGCACGAAATCTTACACCATGTTGGAAATGCTGAGGTGAGTTTGAAGTGTTTAACCACTACGTCATACATACCCAATTGTGTTAATTCTTGTTTGTTTATCAGACGCATAGAACACCAATCAACTTGTTTGATTTGAGTTTTCAAAATTTATTTATTAAAAAATTAAAATTTTTTATTTTTCATATGTTTTTATTTTCATTGAATTTTTTTAATATTTTAAGTAATTTTTTAAAAAATTTTTTAGATACACTTAACATAAATATACTTAAAAAATATAATATTTATGAAAAAAAATCTTTAAAAAATTCACTAAATACCAAAAATATAAAATAAAAAAAATATGACAATTCAGTACATTTTTCGTATTTTTGTGTATTTATTATTTTTCAAAATATTTTTTTTATAACTATTTTATTTTTTAGATATATCTAAGTAAGGTGCACTTAAAAAAAATAATAATAAATTGCTAAAAATTTTAACAATATTTACTAAAAATAAAAAATTTAATTTTCAAAAATTAAAACCAAACAAATTGAATGAGAGTCAATTTTTTTAACTTCTATTAAATATCAACAATGGGCGTTTTTGAATTTTTTTTTAATTAATTTTAGTTTTGAAAACATAAAAACTAAAAACAAAGTGGAGAAAAAAATTACAAATACATGGGACGCAAGTATGTCTGTGGTGTGGTGCAAATGAAAGGCTATGGGGCTGTAAGTACTTGCACCTAGTGGCGGAGTCAGGAAACTAAGTTAGAAGGGGCACTTATTAATTATAATTTTTTATTTAAAAAATCATGAGCAATATTAAGATAATAATAATTTTATGAGATAAATTTAAACATAAAAAATTACATATTCATTATTAATAAGAACAAATCAAAATTCTATAATAGTGTGGAATAGTTCAGTGTGGGATGATGATGTAAGTTTGTAATTTTAACACAAAAAATTATGGATCAAAATTCATAATTTTAAAAAATAAAAACACATATAAAATCTAATTTTTATTTGACAGAAAATATTAAAAAGATGACATTGCTTATAAATTTTTTTTTGTATTTTTGGTATTTACTGTATTTTTTAAATATTTTTTCACAAATATTATATTTTTTAAATGTATTGAAGTTAGGTGTATCTAAAAATTTTAAAAAATTGCTTAAAATATTAAAAAAATTCATTGAAAACATTAAAATACAAAAAATAAAAACGTAGAATTTTTTGAAAACTGTTTTCTGAAAAACAGAACCAAACAAGCTGTAATTTTGTGAGATAAATTTAAATATAAAAAATTACATATTCATTATTAATAAGAACAAATCAAAATTCTATAATAGTGTGGAATAGTTCAGTGTGGGATGATGATGTAAGTTTACAATTTTAACACAAAAAATTATGGATCAAAATTCATAATTTTAAAAAATAAAAACACATATAAAATCTAATTTTTATTTGACAAAAAATATTAAAAAGATGACATTGCTTATAAATAATGTGTTTTGAATTAAAATTATTAAACAGTTTTAAAGTACGATATGGCATTGCCTACGTGATGCTCAAAGTATAGAAAATCACAAATCACACTAAGTGGTATGTCAACTATTTTAAAATAATGAGTTCATTACATTCAATCTATAATATTTTTCGCTACACTATTGATTTAAACTACTACATAAATAATACTACTTAGTGTTCTCAAAGTATTAAATAACCACTTGTTGTGAACAATACAATAAATCCTTAACCAAAAAATATGTTAAGAACAAAAGAGAATACATCTTACACATGTCAATAACAACTAAAAAAAAAAAAAAAAAAAAAAAAGTTTTCAAAACTGAGGGGGGAAGGGGAGCAAGTGTTCTCCCTGGCCCTGCTGTGCCTTCGCCTCTGCTTGCACCCCTCCATATATAGATAATTTTTTTCCTCATGCCTCGTTTGGCAAGTGTCCTTTTTAGCCAAAAAGTCAAAAAGTTACTAAAAAAATCAAAAAATCAACAACCCATACCAAAAAGTCAAAGATTCCCTTTTTCTTTCTACTTTTTGCACATCTTTTTATAAAAAGATAAAAAGTCATCCCAAACATAAAAAAAATTTTATATCATATTCTAGCCAAAAAATCAAAAAGTTATTAAAAAAATCTGTTCCCAAACGAAGCCTCAACTTCCATCTACATGTAGTTCTCCCAACAAAGAAAACTAAAACACACCCAAAATTATTGTGCCTGATGAGCTATGGATTCATATTTTCATAAAAATTAAGGATCTTCTGCCTTCAAATCTTTCTGTCCTTTGTACCAAAACACTCATAACTACTTAGAACATTTTAAATCTTGAGGCGTAGGAATCTTAATATATGATTTAACGTATGTGAATATTAGCATGAGTTCATAGTTTGTTGGTTGCACAATCTACAATTTATATATCGAAGAAGAAAGTGTGAAAACTAAATTGGTGGCCTTGTTGTATGATAGGTAGGCCAATTTAAAGAGGCATCACTGACTTGTTCATTAACAGACACAAGTTATATCATATAGTTACAAGGACGAGGAGTTTAGGACCACCACCCCCCTCAGTCGGCCCTCCCTCACACAGCTTTCTCTGTAATCATCAAAGAGGGGTTGGAGGGTTGGTTGAGAGATGTGGCTCAGTTCTGTTTCATACATTTTCTAGAACCCATTTAAAGTTTATCCTCGCTGATCTGGTTGTGCTGTACCAATAATTCTGAAAAAGAGCAAAAAGATTTTAATCTGATATGAATATGATAGTGAACATTCAAGCAATGTTTTGAAAATCGGATTAATAAGCGAATCGGAAAAAAGACCGGGTGAACAGGTCACCGGTTCAACCGTCAGATCAAAGCGATCGAATCGTGACGTCATAATTAATATTATATAATTAAAAAATATAATTGCAAATTATAAATAAATAAAAATATATATAAATACTCAAATAAAAAAAAAATTGTTGGGTACTATTTATTAATAATATTTAATAAAGTCCTAATTGATAAAAAAAAGTCACTTGTTTTAACGAAATTTAATTTTTTAATATTCCCTCCAAACAATTGATTGAATGGTAGATTTAATTTTGGAGGGAAATGAAATTTTCAACTCTCCCAATCAAATATGATTCAAACAATTTAATTGAATCTCACGTTGAATTTTTAGGTTCTCTTTGAATAATTTTTTCCTATAAATAGGAATAGACTTTCATAATTTCTTCAAGCTTTCAATGAGACTTCTCCTCATGAGAGGAGACTCTTGAAATAAGAGTTTTTAGTCAACATTTTGAAATATATATATATATATATATATAAATATAAATATAAGAAAGAAACAAAAGAAAAGAAAGTGCTTCTGGTTTTCGCAATCTAAGTTGGTTTTCAGCCTAGTTCGGATTTTGGGATTCTTCCAGGCCAGAACTAGGCCTGGGTCCCGGTTTCACCGGTCCGATCCGGATTTTAAATCATTAGAGCAAAACCAAGGGGTGTCTAGTCCGGCGACTTTTAGTCTTGATCTTTAGTCTTGATTTTTAGATAGGGAATGAATTAGTTATTGGAATGGCTATAAATGAATTCAGCAGAGTAATGAGTAGTTCAAATTTGATTTCAAAACTCAAAAAAATAAAAATAAAAAATGTATTCAATCTAAATTTGTTTTATGTTTTTAATCGATCTCAATTGAGTTTTAACTGGTGTATCAAAAAATTAACAAGCATCACAACATGTGCAAGTTAGACTGAAACGAATTTTGACAAGTTAAACTCGAGTACTTGGTTTGTTTTACAACTCATTCCTTTCTGCGATAATTGAAAATTTGTGGTATAAGGCACCTCCTTTTTGGTTTAATCCTGGCTAGAAATTTCAGAGAAACTTAAATAAAATTGTGAAGCAAGAGCTGAGACATTCAATCATAAAAAATTACACAAACAGACCTAATCTTTATTAAGGCTCATAATAACTAACAGAAGGTCCCACAAATTTCTGATCTAGTAAGGTAACAACCTCAAAAACTTTCCTAATGCCTTCAAATAAAAACAAGAAGGGCCAAACAACACCAAAATTACCCTTAACTAATACCATAAACAAATACCCAAATTTCACAAAAACCAGATTTAATAACAAGGACAGCAAATCATACTTGCTTCTATGGCTTGTCCTTCAAAATTACCATTTACATTTTAACAACTTTTGACTCAAAGATTAAGAAATGGAATGCAAAATCCTCTTCTAATTAGCAAGAATTTCCCAAATCAACTCCGGATCGAACGACGGCATTCGCTCGAGCGAGCAGCCTTCTTCAAACTCCAAGTCTGCCGCCACCATCGGACACTCGCCGGAAACAGAGGACACAGTTGGAGACAACAGCGACGATGACGACGACGACGGAGATGAATCAACCTTCATTTCTTTCTCATTATCATCCCCAATCCTAATTCTATCACTAGAACACCCACAATTTTTCCCACTTTTCCTAGCCTTTTTCTCTCTTTTCATTTTTTGGCATATTGCTTCAATCTTTGCATCCACTACAGACTTCAAAGCATTCAATTTCGCGCAATCTCCGATTCCCAACTCATTCACATCGCGAAGATTTGGGAAATTCATTCGTGCGTATTCTCCGCGAAGCTTATACGCCGCACGATCATAGGCGTAGGCCGCAGCCTCTGCAGTATCGTAAGTTCCCAACCAAACCCTCATTCTGTTCTGAGGGAGTCTAATCTCAGCCACCCATTTCCCCCAATGCCTCTGTCTCACTCCTCTGTACTGCTTTTTCTTCAATTGACTCGTGTAATTGCTTGTGTATACAGGGTTTTGAAGTGGGTTGGGTATGGAAAACTGTGAAAATACTGTGTTTGCTCTGTTTTCTTCGGAGAATTTTTGTAGTAAATCTCTTTGTCGGAGATAAACAGAGGAGCCTAAGGGCTCAAGAACAGGGTTGGTGGTGGGAATTGATGGTTGACAATGAGAGAAGATTGAATCTAAGGTGTTGGTGGTTCCGCCTGCTAATATGAGGTCAGATAGAGAAGATCGAATATCGGCAACGCCGGTGAATGTGAATGGGACGTTGTTTTCTTGCATTTTGGAAAATTTCTGAGGAAATTGGATTTTCCAGGAAATGGGAACAGGGGAAAACAGAGGAGGAAGCAGGGTACTGAAAAATTGGTCCCTTTTCCTCTCAGAATGAGAAAATTTGATACAGAACTAACTAGGCATGTTTGAAAAACAAAAGAAGTTGGTTTCTAAGAGGAAAAAAGATTCAAATTTGTTGAAAGTCAGAGACAATAGGGAATAAAAAAATAAAAAGAAAGAAAGAGAAGATCTGATGATTTTTGTTAAGAAGTTCACTGATCTGAAGAAAAATGTGGATCAATGAAGTGTTGGAGAGAGATTGAGGTCAAAGATGAGACTTGTTTGGTATGTGGATATTAAAAAAGGAGTTGGAAAAGCAGGGGTTATGGGAAGAACAGAGCAAGCATTGAAGAGAGAGAGACGCAATAGCAGTGTTGAGATGAGATTTTCTTTTGAGAGAAAATGGGAATGAAGAGAGAGGTGTTAGATGAAAGTGGAGAGAAGGGGTTTGAAATTTTTGCTATCTGTGTCAGGGTTTGGTGGTATTTATAGCGAAGGGTAAAGCATTTTCCATGGACTATAATCAATCTCAGTTCAAAAGTTCACAATTTGACTTTCATTGTAATAATGTAATTTACAGAAGGAAAATAATAATTGTCCAAATTATTGTTATTAGTTTTGATGGTCATGCCAACAATTATGAGATATTTATTTATAAATCTCTTTTTATTTATTTATATTTTATTTAATTTAAATTTTTAAATTTTTTTTTATGTTTTAATAAATTTTATAGGTGATATAATTATCAAAATATTTTTAATAATAAAAGGCTGAAGTACGTATTAATATTGACATTGACAATATAAATATTTACATTCATATCATGGAACATTAACACTGCCAATATGAACATTTCAATAGTCAAATTTATTTATTTACTTTTATTTTATAAAATTATGTATTCAAATGAGATCTTATTTAGAGAGTGTTTGGAATGATATAAATAAGTATATTTTTTTATTTTTTAGGAAAAGATGTATAAAAAAATAGAAAGGCAATGTGACTCAAAATTTTTTTTTTAAAAAAAGTACATTTTTATAAGGGATGCCAAATAGTGTCTTGGTAGATCTTGTTAACAAGGCTTCAAAAAATAAAAATTTCATAAAAAAAAAGTACGTACTACAAAAATTATGAATTTTTAAAGTTTAATATATATAAAAAGTATAAAATAGTACACACCACGTTGCTAATGATTTAAAAAACATTCGTGAAAATAAAATTATTTATAAAATATTTTAAATATGAGAATTAGGATTTAGTAACTAATTGAGATATAAGTACTTGAAAGATAATTTCTTAATAAATTTTCCATCAAAATGTGTAAAAACTAAATAAAAATAATAAAAATATGTGTTCATTTTTAATTTTCTTTATTTATCTTTTTATTGACAATTCATTGAAGTGTCATGTCAATGGCCCTGTTTGGTAGAGCTGTGGGAAAGTGCTTATAGCTTATGTCTAAACAGCTTATAGCTTATAACTATGAACATAAGTTGATTTCTGACTTATGAATTAAGTATCTCCTGCCCCACTCAAAGAATAAGTTGATTTCTGACTTCCAAAAAGCTATAAGCTATAAGCTATAAGCTAAACCAAACACATCAAAATAGCTTAAATTAAGCTGAAAGCTGAAATAAGCAGCTTTTAAGCTGCACCAAACAGGCACAATATAGGAGTGTTTGGAGAAGTTAATAAAAAGTTAATTTTTTGACTTTTTTAGTCTATTTTGTCTTTTGTGGGTAAAAAATGTAAGAGGTGGTGTGACCCAAAATGGATAAAAAGCTAAAAACTAACTTTTTACCCTCTTCCTAAAAGACTCCTTGTCTGCAATTTAGCATCAAAAAAAAAAAGAAAAAAGACAAGATACCATACTATTTGAGTCTGCAAGTTCATCATAGATTTCATCTCGATAATTTTAACTTTTATTTTTTAAAGGGTAAATTATGAGTTATTTTCAAAATTTAGTTAAAAATTGATTTTTAGACTTTTTTTTAAATTTTTTTTAAAAAAATAAGTAAAAAAAATAGAGAGGTAATGTGACTCAAAATAGGTTAAAAGTCAAAACTTAACATTTAACCATGTTCCCAAATTAGCCCTACATTAGTTATCTTTATATTTTGCCCTTTGTATCATTATGGTCTTTATAATTTCAATTGACTTGATTTTGACTTTAAATTTATGATTTTATTTCAATTTAATCCAATTTATTACAATTGTTATTTTTTTTTATTTATAAAAAATGCGTACATAAATGGTATGCATTAGACTTTACAAGTAAAATTATAAAGGATTTGGCTTATCTTAAGTTGTTATCTCAACTTGAGAAAGCGTTTAGGCTTAATAGGCCTATTTTGAAACCGATTCGGTAATCTGAACCGTTCATTCTTGAATATCGATAATTATATATCTGAATCATATTTGTTAAAAAAAAAAAATGAAAGGCAAATATAATTTTAAAAATAATTATTCATTTTTTATAATATAAATTTAATTCAAACATATAACTATCGATATCTAATCATCTTGATTTTTTACATAAATAGTTATTCAACTTAGCAAGTTAACTTCAACTAATTCAACAATCTTTTTTTTTTTCAAAAACCTTAATCAATATTATTAACTGAATTAAACTGATACAAATTTTAAAAGTAAAAGTCAAAATAAAAATAAAAATAATTAAAATCACAGAAACTAAAATAATAGAAGAAATAAAATACAAAAATTACTAATGTAATTTATATTTTTTAAATCACAATGTATATAATATCTATGAATTAAATCAACGTGTCTTTTTCTTTAATATATTTGAAACAACCCTCAAAGGTCTAAAAATTTTGCTCATGGTTTCACATTTGACTTCCGTGGATGCTTACTTTTTGGGACACGCGTCCTTTCCACTGTTTAGCTTTATTTATTTAAAAATTGTTTTTAAATCAGTTTGAAAAATAATGTAGAAGTTTACTTTTAAAAATTATTTTTTAAATTTAATGATGTGTAATTAATATAATTGATTGATAATTAAAAAATATATGAAAGCGTGTTACTTTTAATATTCTAATTAATTATTACATCACTAAATTTGAAAATTGAGTCTAATTTTTTGTTTTGAATAGTAATGCTCAATGAATTTTTGTTTGTTTTAAGTAATTTGTTTAAATATATTTTAGTTAATTTTTTTGTACTTTATAGATGCACCTAATCAAGATGTATTTAAAAAATAAAATAAATTGACTAAAATATTAAAAATAAATGAAAATTGAAACAAAAATCTATTTGCATTTTTATTTGGGTGTCATTTATTTTTATTGAATTTTTTTTTATTTTTTAGATGCATCTCTTGATGTATTTAAAATATAAAAAAAATGAAAAAAATCAGTAAAAAAATCCATCTAAAAATAATTTCAAAAAATGCAAACCAAACAAAGACATGCTTTCCCTAACTCCTCTCCTTCAATTTATTTAAAAAAAATATAAATTCTGAATTTTGGCTCCCATTCTATTTTAGTTTTGAATAATTCAATATAAACAAAAAATTTATACAAATATTGTACAATTCTCTCTCTCTCGCTCTCCCCTTAGTATAGTATTGCTTTAGATGATATTTCACTATAAGAATTTTCACTTTTGGCGACTAAATTTTTAGTTGCCAAAAATCAATTTTTAGTCGCCAAAAATCAATTTTTAGTCGCCGATGAGCTTTAGCGACTAAATTTTTTGATCGCAAAATTAGTAGCCGAAGAGTAGTCGGGAAAGCTAATTGGCGACAAAACTTATTTTAGTCGCCAAATGTACTCATTTGCCGACTAAATATTTAGTCGCCAAAAGGTTGGAAAATTAATTAAATAATACATTTTTGCCGACCAATTTTTTTGTCGCCAAAAGCCTTAATTATTGTTAGCGACCAAAGATTTAGTCGCAGAAAAAGTTTTTAGCTACTAAATTTATTAGTCGCTTAAAGTAAATACTAGTGTTTTGGCTACTAAAATTTTAATCGCCTAAAGTCAAACTTTTTTGGCTACTAAAATTTTAGTTGGCAAATTGTATTTGTTTTGGCTACTAAAAATTTAGTCGCCTAAACTCCCACATTTTTTGCTACTAAACTTTTAGTCGGCAAATAGTTTTTATTTTGGCTACTAAAAATTTAGTCGCCTAAACTCTCACATTTTTTGCTACTAAATTTTTAGTCGGCAAAAGTGTTTTTATTCTTCAGCTTTTGTTTTTAGCTACGAAATATTTTAGTCGCCAAATGTTTGATTTTCTTTTGGCTACAAAACTTTTAGTCACCAAATGTTTGATATTTTTTTTTACTACAAAACATTTAGTCGCCAAATTTTTGATTTTCCTTTGGTTACAAAATGTTTAGTCACCAAATGTTTGAATTTTTTTTTGCTACAAAACGTTTAGTCGGCAAAAACATGATATTATGTTTTATTGCAAATATTATAATGTGTTCATAACCTGTCTGTATTCCATGCAACTTGTAATACGTATATAAATAAAATGATACATAAACTATCAATCATTCCACAATCTGCATCCGTATACAAAAAATAAATAACTTTAATTGTCCAAGTACATACAAACCAACTATTGTCCAAACTAAAATAATAATTCCATACAAAATATAGAATCATACAAAAAGCAAAGCCCTCCATATACAAAAATTACATTTACTACCATGTGAAATGATCATTTGGCATGGTACAAATTACCATCGTAATCTGTACCACGACAAAAGGTGATGTATGTACCACGACAAAAAATCATATATATGTACAGTGATGAAAGGTGATCTATGTACCATGCCAGTAATTATCTGTTGGCTGCCAAAAGTTTTCTGCATCAGTAATAGTTAACTGCACAAAAGTCGAGGACGACAAAAGTATTATATTACTTCTATGCAAAAGTACAATTTCTTCTCCATACACCAAAATATTTCTCTAAAAGTCCACGCAACAAAGTCATCTACAAAAAACAAAAAAAACATTAGAATTGGACCAAAAAATGCCCAACTTCATAAATGAATTTGGCAACAAGTGACAAATAACATATCAAAGAAGCAACCTTCCATGATGAATCAATTATCAGTCTTTTTACAGTCTTTCTAAAGTCTTTTGTTATAAGGAACATTGTTAAATGCAGAACAATCATTACTAAATCTTTCATTATTAACATAAAGCTAATGAAATAATCTTCTATTTGTATGCAACATGTATCCAAATTCTGTGGCTAAACCAATATCAAAACCCAATGCCAATAGAAAGTATTCTTTTTACCAACTTCCTCATTATTTGTTTACAAAAGGCACTTCAATCATTAGATTGGATATAAAACCATCCCTACTTATTAATGTCTGTCAGTGCCATTTCATTCAGGATATTAGAACATGTGAGAAAAATAATAACAAAAATAAAGTACAATCATAAAAGGAAATATGTAGAAATGTATGTTGAGACACCTATAAACGGCTCAT